GTCAAGGCTGAGGAAGCAGGTGAAAACATTGTAGAAAGTGTAGTATGTGGAAGGCTAGCATATGACGTTGATACTTAGTTTTCTCCCATGCAGGCTGAGACCGAAGAACTCGCACATAGAGTTGAATGTCTGACAGCTGAGAATGTAGGACTAAAATCCAAAATAGGTCAGTTAACAGACAAGTCAGATAAACTAAGGCGAGAAAATGCAGCCCTGATGGTACGTACATGATCACCTTCTTGAATTTGTTTTATTTTTTTAGGAGGCATTAATTTCTTCTTTTATCCTTGTCCTTGAGTAAACGAGTTTGTTGATGAACTGTTCAATTCAATAAATTTTTCCGCGACTTATGACGTGGGTTGACATGCAGGAGAAACTGAAAATTGCACAACTAGTGCGGACAGTGGAGATGGGTCTGAATAACATGGATGATAAGCGTGCTCCGCCTGTTAGCACTGAGCAAGAGAGCGAGGTGTATGAGAAAAAATCAAACTCTGGTGCTAAGTTACATCAACTCTTGAGCGATATTCCCAGGGCTGATGCTGTTTCTGCTGGCTGACCAAGAACCTAGTTTTACCATGATGAGTGGGATGTTAATTTTTCAGGTGAAACTTTAGTAACACAGGTTAGGAAATTTACTGCTAACAATTAGCCAGAAGGGTGGTAAGAGCAGAATGGAGTTTGTTATCCATCTCTCTTATTTTACTAGTAGTTTAGTTCCCTGATGGCAGAACTGATGTATTTTTACTAAAATCAGAGTGCTAGGGTGCCCCCTTGAGAAATATTGTACATGGAAGAGAAATAGAGAGCCAGTTTAGGAACTTATTGGGACATGTATTTTGTTGTTAAATTTTATTTGTAATGTGATCTGGATTTTGTATGATTTACCAATGAGAAATATAGTGACTTGAATCTTGTATAATTTGTGAGTATAGGGGAAAAAATTGAGGATTGCCATTAAAATTTACAAGGTACAACCAATATCCCCTTTCATAGGTAATACTGGAATCTTTTTACAAAGATTCATGTATTTGTAAATATTTGTATAGCCCACTGCCGTCTTAAAAATTGATGTAAAAAACCTATAGATAGAAGCTAAATTGTCCTAATTTTGGACAAGAAACTCCATAGGAGTCAAGAATTTCTAGGACATTATGTTTAAGACCAAAAGTAAGAACCAAGTTGATATTATCACAAGTACCCCTCCAGAAATTAGAGAACATACAAAAGTCAAAGGTGCGATGAGAAAACTTGCACAATAATCAGCCGATGGTTAGCATGAAACTTCTCTCTTCAAAAGAATCTCGGACGGGAATTGATACCGCGAGGTCTTGCCATAAAAGTCACCAGACTCACCACCCAGTTGGGTGGTAAGGTTCAGATCTTGGTTCTACCCCAGAGCTTATCTTGCTAGATGTCGAGGGGCACTGGTAAAAAAAAAAAAAAAAGGATAATACAGTGATTTATAGAATTGCATCTTGATGTTTCTAGCAAGTAAATGCATCCAAATGAAATACTGCAATAATATTTCCCCACAAATGCAACTTTGCAACACATGTACAGGATATTTACCTTTTTGCATTGCTCCACAACAAATTGATTAACTTCTATAACTTTTTAGTTTTCTCCTTCCATTACTTACTATATTATTAAATATTCCTTAACATATAACGACCTTCAGTACAAAGACACACACAAACACACATAAATATTATACAATTGATAACCAGCTAAAAGAAGAAATGGTACTAACATTTGATTAAATTATTGCAGAACAATTCCCCCTTTGGAATAATTCTGTTTCCCCTTTTATTGAGCTTTTCCAAATCAAGCATTCACGAGACAAATTGACAAAAACAACGAAGAAAGACATGTGTAAAAGAATATAAACTGCAAAGTTTCTTACCTCTTACTCCCCCTTCCAGTCTATTAACTCACTGCGAGGAGCATGTAGCTTTGCCAATTGTTCCTCTGCTTCAACATCATTAACAACACCCCGGCATCTTGGAAAGCCACAGTAGCATGCAAGTTGTTCATCAATTGAAAAGAACCTGGAAGACACAAGAAAAAAGATAGCGCCTAAAAGAAACAAGAGAACCATAAAAAATTGTAAACCAATATGGCCTCAAGACGAACCTATAATCATATGTCAGCTCTTCCCATCTTTCAATATCCCTCTTTGCAAATATAATGATATGCTCATCACCGTTAATGCTAATTACTCTCGAATAGCAGTTTGGCTGCAGAAGACAAAAAAGTAGAATAAGCACTTTCAGTTTCTCTTTTATCTTTTCAAGTCTAAAATAATATTAGAACAGCTTCTGCAGGATTCTGCAGGATAACGACTGCAGATCTAGAATCATGTTCCATTTAACATGATTAAGACTATAACGTCCCCATGAATATTATATCACTGAGGTTCAAGAATTAGATACATAATAAGAAAGGATAATCTTTTACAAGTTTGTTAAATGGCTAGGCGAACCATAAGGAGGTTAAATTGTCCCCCACTCTATAAGAATATATTGTAACTTGAGCAACAA